TTCAGTGCTGTAACTGGGAAAGCTTGGTCTGAAACTGGTAAAAGCTGCTGGCAAGCAAACAACTTGGGTTTGCTGGGGTTAGCATATTTAAGCAGTGAGTCTGCGTTGCCTTACTTAACAGAAGTTTATGCATTTCTGGCCATTTGATAGAAAAACACTTTTTTATGCTTGAGTAAACGAAACCCAGCAATGGACATGTTATAGCTAAGCAATAATAACTGAACAGGAAGCCAGTGTAATGACACCAGGAAAGGCAAAAGGTACCAGGTGTGATCATGACCTTAGTGCCTACCAGACTTCATGTACTGAAGCAGTCTACTCTGGACTTAATGAGTTAAATAGTTTAATTTTACAAATAACGTTAAATGGTTCATTTGGGTTCTCATTGCATAAACATCCAGATTTCAGAGCATTCTGGTCGCATTTTTAAGGATATTTATCTCAACAAAATGCATCATAGAGTTTGGAAATGTTGTCACTGCTGATCCTGCTGTTGCAACCAGAACATGCTAGATGCAGACACTGAAATAGGAGGAAAAACAGAGGTTGCTAAACCATCGATCCATCCATGTGTTTTTCCAACCAATTATCCAATTCAACATTTCCTATTTGAAATGACAGTTTTTTTCTAAATTAATTTGCACTTAAGTGCATTCAGGGAAAAATTCCAGTTTTTCAGCAAAATGTTAAAATGATATATTAGAAAATCAATCAAATTATTTTCTTCAAGATTATAAATAAGTTTGTTTTTTTAAAGAAAAAACAAAAACCCACATAAAATAAAGTTTCTAGTACTGGTTGAGCACACTACTGATCATAAATTGATTTAGGTTACTTCAGATCAGTTAATAAAATCCCATGTTATACTCAGTCAAAGAGTTCAGGGAGCTCAGGGCTATAAATAAAGTAAAACAGCACAAAGTTAAGACCTGGATTGGTCATTTTCTTTAGGAGAGCTAAAATTTGCATATTTTGACCTGACAAACCTGTGAGTAGTCGTTTGTGTGTATAAGGTCACTGCCATTGTCCATGGTTAAAATTTGCAGGTTAGAGAGGTCAATACTCCTCTTTTCCTCTCTGTCTGCTGCTTTGTGTCGCCAGTTGTTCACGTCCTCCTGAAGATCTTCTCCCTTCTAGTTCACAATTCTTTCTTCTTGAAGCATCCGAGTTCATGTCATGTCAGTTCGCCCTCTGCTTTATCCTGTCAGTCACAGCTTTTTTGGAACGCAGCCGACAATACGAGGACTGAGTCCAGACTGAAGGGCTGTGAACTGACTTAGCATGTGTGCTTTTTGTCTTCATTATACAACCTTTGATCAAAGTTCTCTGAGATAACATGACATTTGCTGCGCTCACGCTTCCAGAGAGTCACTACTGATCTCGCATTTCTGCTGTGTGCAGGCAACAGGCGCAGAAGACAAAGTCTGGGACTGAAACAATATGAACAATCTGATGTGAAACAGATTTGACACAGACCTGGAGGAGACATGAACAGATTTTATTCAATGCAGATGGAGGAGCCGCAGAACGGGAAAGTAAAAGAGTCCTTCAGGTTTGTGGCGGAGGTGAAGAAAGATGTGTGGAGAGACAGCAGAGAGGAGCAATCAGAGCCCACCTGTTCTCTAAGTGTCAGAAAGATCTCCTACACAGTCAGGTAAGTGCAGCTGACGACCAACACGAGTAACTCAAAAACAGACTCAGAGAATTTGACTTAATTTACTCATTATTACTTGACTGTGATTGTCTGATTATCTGATTGTTCATAAAGAGATGATTTTTCCCACAGCCGAGATAGACATCGTGTTGAAAAAAATAAAATACTGTCCTTGTCCTTATGCATGTGTGCATATATACATGTGTTTCACAGTGAACGCGTGGGTCCGTGGTGGGACTTACCCTCCTACAGGAAACGATGGACTCGGCAGATCCTGAATGATGTCTCCTTTCATGTTGATAGTGGGCAGATCATGGGCATACTAGGCAACTCAGGTTCGAGGTTCAGTTCAATCCAAGAGCCAAATGTTTAAAGTGAAAAAGAAATACAACATTTTTATCAGGAAGCGTTAAAAATCAGTTAAATCATGAGTGTTTTTATGCATATGTGTCTTTATCTGCACTTTTCATTATAAAGGCTCAGGAAAAACCACATTGCTGGATGCCATCTCAGGGAGGATTGGGAACCAGGGCACGCTGCTGGGAGAAGTCTTCGTTAATGGTAGAAAACTGAAGCAAGAGCAGTATCAGGACTGCTTCTCCTATGTGCTGCAGGTAAGACAAAGAAACGTCCACACATCAAGATTTAACTCATAGCTTTTACTTATTATCCCAGTATTGCATTTCTATTGATACAATATTGATATAATAAGCATTCATAAATAATTAAAAGCAATATTAATGTTAATATTACATAGTGTTAATATTATAAACATATAAAATATTATGTGTTAATAACTATTAGGTTACATATAGGTATTACATGTACAATAAATGTTAAAATAACACAAGAATTGTGTTTAAGTTAAATTAACAGACTTTTATTAACAATTATAAGAAAATTGTTTCTCTGTTTAAGTTAATAAAAGCCTTGGGTTGCTTAATATCCTTAACTACCATATCAATTTTGACATTTTTAAACTCGTCAAACGCTTTTCTGTTGCTTTATTACAAAAAACATGTACATTTATAAACAATTTACTGTGTAATTTTAAACAGCTGCATAAAAAGCACATTTAAATGGTAATAATATACACAGAAACAAAAGAAAAGCGGTCTAAGACTGCATGACCTCCATACTTTGCTCAAATTTCGGATCACAACATCAGTTTTTTGGGGGTCAGGAGTTCGAGTGATTCGATCACTGGATCCTCATGTTCAATATTTGGCCAAAGTGTCATAGTGTAAATACTGAACCCTGGTTTAAAATCACTGCACACCTGAATGAGGAACGGTTCAATAAAAAACTTCCTCTATTACTGTTCAAGTTTATTATTAATTATTATTACATTTATTAAGTTGCATAATCTCGCACACCCTCAGATATCCACCAGATAGGTTTCAATCCATTTAAAGCATGCTAGCTAGTGACCGCTTCACACGAGTGGATGGCATTAGTCAAAGGGTAAGGCTAAAATAAAATATCAGTTTGACAAACTGAATCCTTAGTAACGTCCAAAAAGCCTCTAAACATTTTTTTTTTCACAAAAAAATAAATACAGTAATTTCCAGCTACATCTACACAAGTCGAAAGAGGCTCCACAGGCATTCACCAAACATTACAGATACTGAACCCCAAACTGACTCCAGTGCATCCATTAGTGTGTCAGTGTGTGCATAGTAGTTAGACATACCTTCACAATGGTAAAGAATTCATGGATTGAAACCCAAATGAAATTTAAAAGATGGGCCCAATCCCAACCACTGGTAAGAAAATGTAATGACACGTGGCTTTTTGAGCAATCCTGCTAACAATCAGATGGATAACAAACAAAAAGTCAAAGCAGTTGAAATTACATGACTTCTAATAAAGGAAAATGTATTCCCAATTCATAATTGTCAAAATTGTCGCTTAACAGAAGTTGAAACCCAGCAGTGGACGTGTTAGACAAATGATTAATGGGAGACTGAACAGAGTTTAAAGTAATTAGCAAATAAGTTCATGCACATTTCACTTTCCTGTAGTTCACACAAACACTCATTAAACTTTCCACTACAGTTTCAAAAGCAGCTGGCCTCATGCACATAGCCTGTATGTATTTAGTTTTGCCTGTGGTTGTACAAACCGCCACAAACTCAATGAACATTCTGCAGTAACTCCAGAAAAGCTGCCCTGGCCTCCGTATGAAATTAACTTAAGACCCCTGATAGCCTCCTCATATATGTAATCTCGCAATGAGAGGTGCTCAAGTGTATCCAAAGCCTGAATTAAAAACACTGGTTTAAAACCAGCCTTGCTTCTTTTCAAATCATCTCTCCCCTCTAGCTGATAGCTCCCCCTTCTGCTCTCTAAGCCTCGTCATTAACTTCCGCTGCTAAGCTGTAGATGAGGAGGTGATATGAGCTCCTCATATTAAAGTCATTCAGATGAGAGAATAAGGAGAAGTGGGATTGGGAGGCGCCATGTGTTAATTGAAGCAGGCAGCAGGTTCAGCTGGTTTAAGTCATGCGCCTGTGCCTGTGTGTGTGCACACATCCGAGGCAAAGGTATATTACAGATGGGTCGCACTGGCATATATGAACATAGACGTTTGTGAGGATATATGCTCACTGTACGGGGATGTGCTACAAAGATGCTATAGATGGAGAGAGCGTGACATAAAAGTATCCAGTCCAAACATATACTTCCATTTGTTTACTGATGACCACTCAAGAGAAATACTGAGATGCTTTCTTAATCCATCTCCTTGAGGAATAGAGGTGGTAGTTTCTAGTTTTAAGGCTGCCAAATCACAATTTACAGTGTTTTTTTTGTGTCTAGTTTCTTTTCTGTTAATGCCCTGTTTTCTCTTTCTGACATTCTTTTCCAGAGCGATAACTTGCTGAGTTATCTGACAGTTGAGGAGACTCTGACCTACACAGCTCAGCTGGCCCTGCGGAAACGCTCGGCTGAAGCTATCAAGAAAAAGGTGACTTTAGAGCTGCGTCTGGGCATTTCTTTCATTATTTTCTTAAACCTGCCATCTCTGCCTGCTACAGAACATATCCCAAAAAATAAATAAATAAATAAATTACAGGCTGATGGATATCAGCATCCACTAAGATGTCAGCACACAAACAGTTTCAGTGCTTATTTGGATGATCAGCTTAATCTTAGAAGGTGCATTGCTGTGTTGTTTTATATTTTAGGTCAGTTAAGGTTTATGGCTGAGTTATTGCTTCACAGACAGTCATGTGCAGCATCAAGATGACTGAGAATGTGTTACATTTTGTTACAGATCTCTTTGCTTACAGCACATAAATGCTGTAAATGCCCATTTTTTAAAAAAGAGTACCTGACCTGACATTTAAGAACGGCAGGTCAGTTGTTCTCAGCCTAATATTTTGTTTGAGTCCCTCGCTCTGAAATATTTCCAAACTGTAAAAACAGGAAAATATTGCTTCTCCTAATCTTGTGGAGCTATCAAATACACTCATCAGGGTCTAATGAAGCTCATGTGGTGCTTGGCACCAGCAGTGGGTCCTTTGGATCCTGTAAGTTTAAAGTGGAAA